AATGACCTTTCTCACTCAAAAATTGATACATCGAAAATCAAAAATTTCATTTCGACTAATTTTATCTATCACAATTGTCAGAGCACGAAATAGCACAGTCTTGGGTTCAACGGAACCCATTATTCCTGCCAATCCTAGCATCTACACCAATAAGATACTTTCTCCTTGCGTTCGGAACAAAATTTTGTCTGCCCTCTCTACTAGCACCTAAGTCCAATAATCATGGACCTATTCTCTAACATCAATAAAAGTTAAGTAGCACAATCCGAGTATAGATACAACAAACTATAGGATTCATCTCCATCATAGAATTCACCAGCATTCTCACTTCAATCAAATCCAAAGACCACCATCCATAAATAGTAAAATAATGTACAAACTAAAAGATATAGTACACTTCCAATCGATTCAATCGTCCACCAATCCAACCTTAGCAGAGGCTGATCTCTAATAAACTAAATGTTAATATTCCCTTCTACTCACCGCCAAAAAAAACCATTTACCACACCCATCATACCAGACTTCATCACAAAACACGGCCATAAAATTTCTCCAATACCAACACTACATCAAATAACGCCTATGAAATTCTCTATCTATGCCACGAGCTACAACAGGAACACAACCAGCCCTTAATCAAACCACTCAATCTTTACAACACTTACCCACACAACACAGTCAAAACAACTACCATTAGCTCTCGCAAACTCAACTTGCTAATAACCCACACACTATTCAAATAAAAGCTATGATTCCCACAAAAGAAATCGCCCATTACACCCACAACAAATACTCTTAATCATTCAATCATATTCAACTCACAACCATCTGCTTTCAATATCACACATCAGACTTCTGTTCACCTCTTACTCACTTCGAAGCAAACGTTGTGACTCGCTCAGCTGATCGAAGATCACATGGAAAAAGAACATTACTCAGAAGACTTCTGTTCACCTCTTTTGCTCACTTCGGAGCAAACGTTGCGACTCGCTCAGCTGATCGAAGATCACATGCCAAAGGAACATTACTCATAAAACTTCTGTTTATCTGTTCTGCCCGCTGCGTGTATAAACATTAGGAGTCGGCTAGCTTTTCGGAATGGTGTGAGGCGTACGACTGAGGCTGCTTGATTGCTTTTTTTGTATTGACGGTGGAGATGTATTATATTTCTCTTGCAGTCGATGATAACTTTGATGCGGATGAAGAGTAGCAAATAAGATTCTTAGTATTGGGGATTGTTATGTTTGCTGTCTTTTTGTTGTTTGATTATGGATGATATTTATAGTTCGTTTTCTTTGGGGGTTTTGTTTATATGGTATAGTCTGGTTTTAGGAGAATTCTCTGAGGGTTGCGACTTGCACAGTATATATTTGTGCGCGGTTCGTGATTTTTGTCAGCTTGTGAAAGAGCTACTTGTTCAGATATTGTTTGATTGAGTACAATATAATCGTGTGGATTTGTTTTTATGAAGCAAAAGAGCAGTTTTGTTGTTTCCTATTTCATAAATAGTTGTATGCTTTTTGGAAGTATATCGCACGGTTGAGAATATGGTATGTTGTGTATCTCCTGTAGATGGATGTAGAATGGGAATGAAACTAACGTTTATGATTTGATTTCGATAGGAGCAGTATGAGTTGCTTAGTGAAGTAAGTTTTCCGTATTTTGACCAGATCTTTGTAATATCTGTTGGATTTGAGTCGAATTAATAGGAGAGGGATGAGATGGAAATATTTATGAACGTCGTCGGAAATATCCCTTGTTGTGGCTATGCATGTGTGACATTTTTAATAGAACTGAAACTTTTCTTTTAGATATTGTTCGTACTAAAACATTTGGCTAATTTCTAATGCAGTTTTTGGAAAGGGTAATGGGGTTTTGATGTGTAGTAAGCTTGAAAATGACGTATGTTGTGCTTTTGAAGTGAGATATGGGAGACGCAGTTGGGTGAGTGTAGTTTGGTCGACGTAAAAATATAAGCATAATTGTGTTTTGTTTGCTGGATGCTGGTACAGCAATTGAAAAAAGAGTACATGTTGCCGTGGCTGTGCAACGTGACTATTGATTTGAGACATTCTTAACCGAATGACCGAGTTGTGTGCTTCTCGTCAAGTTGAATGTCGTTCACATAGAAGTAATACTTGCTTTTAAATTGATTTTCAGACTAGCAAACCGTTCGAGGTGTATGACTGTAGTTGGCAATTGTGAATAACCAAAATAGCGAATAATATGCGCGCTGGATATGGCATAGAAATGATGACCCGAGCAAAGATTTTCATTAGGAATCGGTGCTTACCACCTGAAGATCGTTGAATACATAGAGTTTCATAATTCTTCAGGCGCAACAAAATGACTTAATAGTTGCAGACAGAAAATAATCATGAATCGGATGTTTTATATGAACCTTGAGAACTTGTGCCAATTCTTCAAGTCACATATTATTAGATAATATCTTCTCTTATACAATAAAAATATAAACCTAAGAGTGTGAGAATAAATTTTTCCTAATTGATGAATCGGAAATTTTTTGTCAAGATGTGTTCATGAAGTGGTGAACAATTCTAAATAAAAGAGAGCATAGTAGAAACCAATGATTGTTTAAATTATTTGCTTACGCAACGCTCATCACGTGTTACTGATTAAAGTTCACCCGACCTATGTATTCAATAACCGGATTGAAATGGAGAAAAAATATGAATATGTCGCGCAAAGAACAAAAATTTTATTTTGAACTATTGGTGGGTTAAATAATAATCGAATTTGACCTCAAGAAGATGGCACTAAGTTTGCTGATGTACGGTCCAGCGACCGAAAACGAACCGAACTATAACGGTTCGGTTCGAGTTGATCCAAACCGAATCCGAATCGGATTTTTTGTAATGCACTTGAATCAAACCGAACTCGAAGCATCTTTTAAAAAACGATGTTGAATTGAACCGACCTTAAACTAATTTCTGAAAGGCGAGTGAGTATGGACAAACGTATAAGGAAGATGATTGATTGAGGTATCATCTTTTTTTGTAAAATTATGATGCTCTGGACAACAATCAAACGATGTTTTGTCGATTGTTTTACATCCGCGACCAGAAAAGAACTGAACCGAACTATAACGGTTTGATTCGAGTGAATCTGAATCGAATCCGAACTGGTTTTTAGGCAAGAAAGACGAACTGAACCGAACTCGAATCAGTGAAACTCGGTTCAATTCGGCTTCTGGTATGGTCTAATGAAAATATATGAGTAATAGTAAAGGAATAAGTATGAGGAAAATAATTTTCAAGCTTTCAACAAATAATAATAAGATTGAACAAAAATTGATTGATGAAACTTGCAAGAGATTTGACGAATTAATAAAATATGGTGAACAACAAATACGTAACAGTTAAAGGAGATTTTTGCGTAATCAGGTTAATATAAGAGTGTTTTATATCTTTTTTGTTAATAAAATATCTTATTGATCGATTGCGAAAAATTGATACCCACATTCTCATGTTTATATTTTTATTATTAGAAGAAAAGATATTATTCAATAATATGTCATTTTAAAGATTGACATGAGTACTCAAGGTTCATATAAAAACATTGAAATAGAAGTTGTTTTGTGTCTTCATATGAACTCATTTTATTGTACCTCAACCCTTATGAAATACCTTATATGAATCGAATTGATTATTCAATCTGTCGTATTCTTACAGATATCTTTATTTTAGGTGGTCTCCATGAGTGGTTGGATGCAAAGTTATTCAGCATCAAAGAAGTATTTATAATTCTAGACAACATATTGATTTTTTCAAATAAAATAACTATTATCGATGTCAAAATATTATGTATTTCGATTGTTTTTTAAATATTTCGTAAGCGAAAGCACTTACAACTCTAAGATTTTCACCATCCGAAAGGAAACTGTGGACGAAGTAAAATACTTCCATATTAGTTTGTCTATGCATTGGTCCAGTGAGGCAACTTTCACGATGGATGTTGTTCAGATATTTTCAAAGACGATTTTTCAATCCAATATTAGCTTCGATTTAGCCAATCGATAATGAATAAATTTTGACTTCAACAAAGCTCAATTGAATACTACCAATTGCTTTTAGTTTCAATATAATGGTTTTTATAATTCATTCTATACAATGCTGTGAACAACAGATAGAATATCATCTAAATCTCGTTCTTTTGAGGTCATATTACTTCAAAATTAAAAATAAATATCATCATTCGATGCAATTTGATCAAATAACCCTAATTTCATACTTAGGTCTGATCAAACGTTCTGAGATCTTTAAATAAAAATATAAAGATAAGAAGATATTTTTAATTTTATTGTATCAAACGTTGAGGATAGTTACCATGATTATTGATATCAAGTTCAATTCTTTCTAACAATTTATCAAAAGTTTTTTTGAACTGTTTTTCGAAAAAAATTTTAGCTACTTTGGATACCGTATGAGTATATAATATTTCATTTATTTAATTAACTAAATTCTCTTCGATAGAGCTACTTAATCAAAGATTAGGTACAGCGAATATGACCGCTGCGGCATTATATTGATGCCCTCTTCTGTCAAATAATTAATAGCATCGGATGAGTATGAAGTCAACGATAATCCTCAAGCAGTTTTGTACTTTATACCTCTTTTTGTTTTCATATTACATTTATAAAAGGCTTCAGATAATTTTCAATATAATACTTGTAACCTACTATCATGCCTTTATCTACACTTAGGACTATTTGATTTAAAACATATGTCAAACAAAGTTTGCGTTCAAATCTATCTCCATGAAAAATAGTCTTTGACGATTCATCCTCAATAAGCCAGCTAGAATCAGATGACTTATGATTAACCTATATAAAATAAATCTATACTTCGTCACTAGTACTACTAGAACACAAGTGACAAAATCTGACAAAACTTCATTAAAATTTTAAAACAAATGAAACATGATTAGCTCATGCGGTATCCAAGGTAGCCAATTTTTTTTTTGAAAAACAGTGCAAAAAAACTTTTAATAAATTGTTAGAAAGAGTTGAACTTGATATAAATAATCATGGCAACTGTCCTCAACATTTGATAAAATAAAATTAAAAATATCTCCTTATCTTTATATTTTTATTTAAAGATCTCAGAACTTTTGGTCAGACCTAAGTAAGCGAAAATAAAATCAGTTTTGAGAGTCTTGGCTTTAGTTTAAAAATAAGTATTATTCAAAAAAAAACATTCGATTGATTTTATATCTTCTAAACCAAATATTGAACAAGAAATATCATTATCTTTAAAAAAAGAATAAATCTTTGGTCCCTTGAAAATCCATATTTATATGATATTCATATTGATTTATATCAAGTGGATATATTTATTGAACATATTGATAGTTATATCGATTCTAGACAAAGTTCTCTTCGTTCTAAAAAGGAAAAAAATTGTCTTAATAATAAACCATATTTTATGTTTGGAGTTCTTGATCAAGATTATTGACGTGATCATCCATATCGATATGATATAGAACAAATAAAACACTTAGGCTTTAATACAATTGTTAATGTGATGCATCAGGTATACTTGTTTGACAAGATGTATCTGCAGAAGATTCCTTTTATGGTTATAAAGTTGAATTAGATGCTGATAAACAATTACGATTATATCTTAATAATAGAGGATGAATGATTTATCACCAGTTCCAATAATAAATGTAGATTTATCTGTAAATTGGCTATCGACTATTGAAAAAAAACTTTGAATCTAACATTCACTTTGAACATGAATTAAAAGCAATGATTGATTTTCTTTCATTTCATCCATCAATTATTATTTGGGATTATTTAATGAACAATGGGGTCAATATGATTCAATATGTTTAGAAAACATGGTTGCAGATCAAAATCGTTTAATCAATACTGCTAGTGGATGGCAAGATCGAATAGGTATTGAACATATCAGAGATATCCATGATTATACAAAATAGATTTTATTATCATCATTTGATGAAATTTTCTTGGAGTTGTAATCATTATTTAATGACATATGCATTCAAATAATTTATTCTTAATCGTTCACTACGTTTATCAGCTATGATTTATACACAATTATCTGATATTGAAAATGAATCGAATGAAATTTTAACATGTAATCGATAAGGAATTAAATCTGTGGCTCCGTATGTCATACGTATACTAAGAAATCTTTTTTATAATACTATACCGCAAAAAGCATTTTTAGATATTTATATACATTCTATACCATCATTAGACGATAATGAAGATAAATCTTTTATACATATCAATGCTTTCTGAATAATTTATGCATATTTATTGATTTAAATAAATATATAGTGTTTTATTGGACAATGAAAATATTTCTTCTTTTACGTTATCGAGAAGTAGACTTGATATTCTATTACAACGTAGTGCTCTTGTTGATTCAGTACCATTTGGTAAACGAGCTGAAAATAATAAAACAGCTGGCTCAACGCCATTAATTGATGCAACTAAATATAATCATCCTGAATGTGTTAAACATTTATTAGTACATCATGCTAATCCAAATCATAAAAATCATTCGAGTATATCAGTATTAATACTTGCACCTGAACTACGTTATTTTGAATGTGTTAAATTACACGTACAAGCTGGAGCTGATCTAAAATTATCCTCAAGTAGTAAAATAATTCTCTAGAAAACTTTAGGAATTGTTATTTTTTTATAACATTTATAAAATTAATTGATTTATTTCTAGGTTCAGTAGCATTAAGATTGAATTTATGTGGTCAAACATCATTATTTTGTGCAGCAAAAGAAGATCGAACAGATATAGTTAAATATTTATTAGACGATGAAGCTAATCGACATGTTCAAAATCATTATGGTGTTAGTGCTTTATGCATTCCATCACAAAAAGGCATATTACAAGTTGTTGAATTATTATTAAATGACGGTACTGAAACACATGTTACTCCGTTTGATAGTCAAGCTGATGAATTAAATATAACTGGTTTTTGATGTTGGAAAATTACTTCTTAAATGTGATGCTGATCCAAATACAGTAACAAAACTCAGTTCAACATCATTTTTGTTGGCATGTGAAATATGTAATTTAGATATAATTGAAGCTGGTGCTGATTTTAATTATGCAGCAAGTGGTCTAGAGGTTGATAATTTAAATATGACTGATCAAACAGTATTTTATTGTGGTTATATTAAACAATCGTATTGATGTTGCAAAATTTTTAATTGAAAAAGGAGCACGAGTAAATGTATAAAATTGCTATGGTGTACCACCATTACTCCTTTGTACTGAATCGGATAATCGAGAACTTGTTCAAGTACTTACTGAAGCCACTGCTAATGTTAATATTACACTGCAAGAAGAATCAGCTGAACAAAAATTTCCTTACTAGACAGGTAAAAACTTTATCATACTTTTGTTTTTGTACTGATCAACTAAATTTTTTATTGACACCAACATTTAGAGAGCTTTAACATGTAAGGGTTTACATAGAAATTCTGTTCGTATATGAATGTAATACGAAGAGAGCTCTATATATTTGTATTATAGTAGCATTAGTCCGATAATATTATCATATGAAAAATTACAATGAAAACTATGTACTCTTATTTTCAGATCAATAAGGAAAATTTACGCTTCTTCGTAAAGGTACATAGTGCATTTAACATTCAACCGAAATCGATTCATGATGAATTATATTCTGTTTTCGGCGATCAAACTCCATCTTATAATACAGGTGCCAAATGGTCTTGAGAAGGACGAGAATATATCATAGAAAGATAAGAATGCAGCTAAAACAAATACTTATGTATGAGTTTTTATTTTATTGAATAAATTGCTTTTAAATAAGAACACGATATTTCGACTTATATTTCAATCTTTACTGTTCTTGTATATGTGTATTTATGATTTATCTTTTTGTTTGTGAATGTAATGTTGTCCATCTATATATATAACCATAGAACAATATGATATAACTATTGTTATTGTTGTGAGCAGTCAAGGATCATGCTAATACAGTTCGAATCTTATATCAACATGATGGAAATGTTGATCAACAATTTTGCGTTCGAAGAACAAGATGTAACTGCATATGATTTAGCTGGATCTTAGCAGTATGATCATGCATGTGAAGTACTCAAAAGTTTTGATGCAAGACAACTATCTCATAGTATATTATCAAGTCACCTACAAGCTAATAAATAATCCCATTCTATCATTATATACCTAAAACAACATTTTGTGTTTTTCTATTTTCGATCGACGGTCAATTTTTTTTCTCTTCGTTTAACGTACGTTTGTATATGTTTTTTTTCTGTATAGTCTACTGTTTGCCTTTACACAAGTTCATTTTTTTCTCAATATCTATGTTTTTCTGCTCATGATTTTTTTTTTTTATTGAAGAATTTCTATGTATGCCTGTGTGATCTAGAGAAAGAGTTATTCTATGAATAAATGTAAACTAAATAATGTGTTTGAGATAAAACAAAGAATAGCATAAGTTCTAATCTAATGTGACTTTTTTATTTTTTTTATACAAAAATAAGAAGAAACAAATATGCTTCTGAAAATAGAAATATAAAATTGAATAATTAAAAGAATAAACACTGAAGATATTAATAGGAGATTGCAATTGCATAATTCAATCTCTTGAGTTACAAATGGTTTTTAGAAAAAAAGAACGACTTTTATACTGATCTGTTGTAAAATAATGTATCGATTAATAGAGGATATAGTGAATTCCTATCTGCAGGGAATTCACACTTCTGTGTATCACTATATAATGAATAATACAGATCAAGGCATACCGTTGCAACTATCTAGATTAAATATCGATGACATGTAGGATGTGAGCGTTTTCATTGATTAGAATATATTCTTCATCCACATCTACACTCGTATTTTCAACGGCCACCAAGAACCATCTTCCCGTACAATTGTCTACACTCACATCCTCATGTACCTAGCATATCTTCATCTATTTCAAAAATTAAGAATTTTAAATTCAAGTACATTGATTTCGAGTAAGCATAAAGAATAATTCTTTTGAAAATTTATTTACAATACAAAAATTATAATGATTTTTGTCATGTATTACATTTCTCTCATATCTTTTTATTCATTGACATAGTTTCATTCTCGGAAAAACTTCAATTATTAGTGCGGAATACATGATCCATGATGAAGCATTTACTAGTTTTCTTCTTCAAGCCATCTGGAAGGAAGAATTTTAATGCTTTCAACATAGTTTGTTGTTCTCCACACACATTCTCTAAATAAATCGTGTATTGTTCATGAGGTCGATCAATTTCAATATCTGTCACTTTGAAAAATGTTCGTGGACTAATTAATACTTCTTCTTCATTTTCAAAATTTGATATACATGGTAGTTGATATACAGGTATTTTACTTAAATTTATTGCTGTATCACACCGTTGAGAAACATAAAATATCAATAAGACACTTATTTTATCTGATGATGATGAAGATTTTGCAGAAAATTGCTCAGCTACATTTCGATTAATAGATGTTGATGCAAATGTAAGCAATGATAAAACACTATCTTTATTTTTCTATGCCCAACAATATTCATTTTATTCATATTGAGTCAATTGAACACCACGATAGAAATATCCTTGATAATAACGTTGTTTTAAATCTAATAAATGCATTAAGAGTGGAAATTTTAATGGACTTGGGCATAACAATAATTTACGATAAAATGATGTTTCCAATGTATAGAGTTTCAATAGAGATTCAATTGTATCTTGTTGAATATATTCGTTGAGTTGATGACAGCAATATTGGAATGATTATCATTTGCCCTAAATTGTGGTTCCCTAAATGACTCCCTAAATGAGTTCCCTATTTATGGCTGTTGAATCAATCAAAAAACTTCTGGTGACCAGCTTAATTTAGGGATTTTCTTGGTGATAATATATATAACAACGCACCCTTTTCTTCATCCTCATCTTCAGGTTGTATGAAAAAATACTTTTCTGGTCAACAGAAATTTATTATTTGATTTAGGGACACAAATAGGTAACTTATTTAGGGAGTAATTTAGGGAACCACAATTTAGGGCAAATGATAACCTACCCAATATTGATAGTCAGGATGATTTGAAGTAACATATTCATCCAAGACTTTTTGCAAAGATTCTTGTCGAAATTTTTCACTTGTAACATAAGCATATTCTTCTTCATCATAGTCATCTTTTTTTCCAAGTTTTAATTTCATTCTTTATCCCATTATATATCGTCCGATTCGTGATTGAAAGAATATTTTAGCACAATTGATGTTATCTAATTGGTTTTTGACTTCTTCATTTGTTTCATAATCGATAAGATACCGTTTATTGGGTCTGGCAACATCATCGTCGTCATCACGATCGCCGATTATAATTTTATTTATTGATGATGAAAGTATTTCAAATATTTGTTTGATATCCATTGAATCGTCATTAAATCGATTTTCATTTGACGGTCGATCATAGAGTTGTCGCATTTCATCTGTTTGTGCTTTTTCATATGCCGTGAAACCATAACGATCTTGTAGATTTCGTTGACAACCATATTCATGCAGAAGTAAACGAACAATATCTACATGACCAAAATATGTTGCAGCATGAAGAGCAGTACTACCATTAGGTTCCAATTGATTCAATTGATCATAAGGAATAGTAGGTAATATTTGTTTGACTGTATCGATATCTCCATTCCTACATGCAAAATAGAATTGACTTGCGTCTTCTACACGTAGATCTTCGAAAAATTCCTGATGATTACCACGACGAATTTTTAATAATGATTTAAACTTTTTCTCCGTTTTTTTGATAAAGTGCATATGCTAACAATAATGATTCTACTTAGAAAGACTTGAGAAAACGAATTGGAATAAAAAAAAACAAATACAAATACTAGTTTATATAATGTTTAATAGAACGAATTGCGAAATGTTAAGGATTTGCCACATATACGCAAACATATTACACATTGGTTTTTTTTCTGTACAAATTAAATGATATATTAAAGCGGTATTTTTCCTTCTATGCTCCCGCACAGTATGTATAGCCTTATTCATTTCCCTTACGTGTCATACATATACATACCTATTCGCTTTTCTATGTCTTTTTTACCTTGTTCTTTTCCTCATAGACATTTGTGACTAATGTTATTTAATAAAACTGACCTGACATTCAAAATACTAACGAAACTTACAGAAACAAGAAAAATTATGCTCAAAAATGAATGTTAACAGTGTTGATTTTGTCCACACATTGAAAAATCATCGATGGCGAATACATTACGATAAACAACATTGCCATCATCGAATGAATATGTACAGTTAAAGCATGTGACAAAGAGAAAATATATGCATGTGCGTTTATGTATAACGGTAATCTGTCGGTTAGTCATCTTGAGTTACTCATAGTACTTCTACACGATATGCATCTTCCCATAGTTTAGCGACAGAAAAGACAAAATTTTAATTAGAAGATACGTTCGACCATTAGAAAGATAGATAAGCAGATATCGTCGACGATTAACTATGTAAATATTGATTACTTGCCATATTTCGAGTTTTTATTATAAATGGTACACGAACCAAGTATGATGACTGATCGACGCAATCACATATAGTGCACTTTGTGGTGACGCTACATATCTTCCCATTTTTTTCGAATGGCGAGACTACCGATGAGCATTCTTGTATAAAGCTTTAGAGATTTCGATTGAATTCGTTTTTCATACTTAAGTCTCCATTTCGAAATAAGAGTTTGACAGAAGGTACAGTGTACATAAGAATAGTTGCAATTAACTAATGAAAAATTTATCGGTGAGAATATAGTTGTATGTGTTAGGAACATATGGCTGTCAATCCATCCGTTCACCTGCCATGATCAGAACCCGTTCGGATGAATATTGTTAGAGAAGAAGACAGAAAAATAAGACATGTTCGATATTAATTGTCTTTCTGGCGATTTATGCTGTTAGATTGATGTTTCACTATTATGAATTAGCGTTTCAGTCGATAGACAGGATCGTCTCACACGTTCAATCTACGTCAGAATAAAGACTGTAGAAAGAGAAGAAAATGTTCGTGCTGCCTACGGATGTCGATGTTGGCAAGATTTACCAGTCAGTCTGTTAGACGAGCAAGTGCATATTAGCTGCTATAAATCGATCGCCTTTGTTTTGGACTATGTATCGACAGTAAAGAAGATTGGGAGAGCGGAACGTTCTCAACGGTCTTCGAATATTCAATAACGACTAGAAATCAGTGTTACTATGAGACTATATAGAGAAAAAATTTCTTTAAGTTTTTCATAAGAAATTAAAATACCTTCGCTTCTACTTTTTACGTGGCCTAAGTAGTAGAACGGATTCATCGTGTTTCATTTTTTATTCGCGTAGAGATTAACAGATGGTGCTACTTCAGCATGGATCTTTCACTAGTCCAGCGAATATCCGAAGTGAAGTAGAAAAGTAACAAAAACTTTTGATAGATTTTGAATGAGAAAAATCATTGTGATTTTCTATAACAATAGCAATAGCGCTGCTTTTAATCATAAGATACTGCATATTTTACCAATGAACCACCATCAATGTTGAACACGAAGCTAGCACTTGCTGTCAAGAGTATCACATCTGATTCGGTGTAAGCAGAATCAGTGGTATCAAGCGTCTTGGTGACGATGCTTAAAAAGCCATCTGCCTAAGAGTATTTTGTTCGTGAGATCACTTTACATCTGAACATCTAGCGGCCATTTTTGCAGCTACAGAAACAATATATTCTAGTTCGAATAAATTTAGTGTTTACACTGTTTTGATTTACAATCAATATCTGAATATTAATCATTATCGATCCAACTTAAAGGCAATCGGAGATATAAGTGATGATTTCAAGAAAAGTGAGCTGATATGTCAAATAACTTCTCGACTTCCAATGTCCGATTTAAAAGAGCATGACTGCTTGATACGTTTGATGATAATTTATAGATATTTTAATGAGACTGTGCATTTTGCTACTTTTCCATTCATGACTCAGAAACACACATGAGATTGAGTGACTAGTTAATGGCAATGTTCAATTATGTATGCCCTTGTTTCTAATGAGAATACAAGAAGAAAGACAATTGTTCAGTGTGATTCTTATAGTCCTTTCTTCAACAATCTGTACAGAGCTCTATCTTCGATCCTACTTGATGAAATATGGAATACATATTATGTATATTTTGAACATATACATGGATATCGTAATAGTCTTTACTTATTTGAGGTGTAGATGTGGTGACAGATGTGAATGATGATGTAAAGTTCTTACCCCACCCGACCAACATCTTCACACCAACATTGGGGATCAGGGATAAGCAAAACTTACAAACACATCTACCCACACTCCTGCAACATCCACATACCACACTGTTCGGGAGAAGAATGTTTTATCCAGATGCCAGTGACATCATTGAATGTCTGGAAAAAGCAAGTAATATTTTTACTAATTAATGCTGGTTAAAAAACAAAAATGCTATTAAGCGATGATGTGTTAAAGACTAATCTGTTCCACAATGATAATGGTTGGTATTGGTGTCGTTTACTTCAATATTGAGTGAATGTTGAAAGCTATTCGCGACGCATCAGCGCTAAAACATTTGACAACATCAAACTTTGTCACTACTTGTTGGCGTCAGTCAAAGACAGTAACGCGCATGTACCGAATGAGCCGTAATGAAATGAACTAAATGTAAAAGCATTATTTTTCTCTCGTTTTTAACTCACGTAGTAAAATTCATTGATATCTTAAATTATTGAAAAATTTCAAAACCTACAAAACGATCCATGTTCAGATTTTCTGCAGACATCTCTTGATTTGTGTAATCATCTGCTTGTTAATTTTGATTCTAAAAACAATGTACTCATTATTAATTGATAGGGAATTTGGTACTTTACGCTTTCGAGCCGTTTGGACGTCTCCCGGTATCGTTGTTTCGAACTGTCATATTGGGGTAATTTTAGTGCATCTTGAAAGACTGTTTTGCCAAAAGTCACACTTGATACATGACATGTTTTATTGTTATGCCATCTATTGTAGAATTCAATTTCGCATAAAATGATTTAGGTGTTAAACTGAACAGTAAAAACATTTAGACATCTTCAAACAAGGCAAGAAAAATGATAAGGTCGGATGCAAAAAATAGTTTTTTCTGTATTTTTACAGATTTTGAAATAGACATTCAAAGATGCAGCATTTTAGAGATGTTTCCTTTGGATATATGAAATTCCAGCAGAATCTTTATTTTAAAAAAATGATGATGCATTACATTTTTTTGACTATCACATTTAGACAATTGAATAGGTATTCATCATTGTTACTTTTCAAAGCGAAGAAAAACTTATTTGAACAGCAAAGTCAATAATTTTGTAGAGCTCGACATTTTCTAAGATTTGGTAGATGAATGGATTATTTATCAACTAGAAACAAGGGAAAAAATGCATCTCAGTGTAGTCCCGTTTATGACGGTTCATTTGTAACTTTTGCTATTATCTGCTATTCACCACGAAATAAAATTAGAAGCGTACTAGAAATTTTTTATGATAAATTTAAACATTTTACACATTTATGTTTTGAATGCTGAAATAATCTCGCTGACCAGTGTTCAATATCCCATATGGCACAAACGAAGTGAACGAATACAAAATAACAACTATTGACTAGGGACTTTTATTTTCATATGACACGGTAAACATACAAAAATATAACGCGGCTCTCATCATCGTGCATTGCTAACGGATGATTCGATCAAACAGATCGATAATGAATATCTAACTTTTTTTTCTCAAATGGTCACTATAAATGTGCGAACGAACAGGAAAAAAACATGAACAAGAAGGAAATATATCTTAAGATGAAGAAAAGGATACATATATAGTACGTGTCATCAAAACAGAGCAAAGAAAGAAATATTACATATAAGTGATCACACTATAGCATTCACGTAAATTTAAAATCTGTGCGTTCGAAACGAAGCAACTGACGCAGAAAGCCGATGTTTGGGCACACGCAGGTACGTGCCTGATGCACGCGCAAAGTGGCTTCGGCGGCACCAATCTTGTGCACGGCCATCAGATAGGCGGCAACTACCGCGGCCGAACGAGATACACCTGCAGCACAGTGAACCAAAACTGCTCCATCTTCAGCCTGTAATGACTTGTGAATGAAATTGAGTGCTACGGGAAAGTGAGCGGTGATATTGTAATTATCTACATCATGTGCATCCATAGCGAGAAGAGTCACATGTGGATGGCCGGAAGTGGTGAAGAAATCAGCGGGGTACGATGTCGATCCCGTCATATTTAGCACGTACTTGATGCAATGATGCTGCAGTTTGTCAAGGTTTCGAGCATCGGATGCAGAACCAAGAAATAGACGATCACAGATCAATGATGGTGTGCCGTCGGCATCGTCCAAAAGTTTTCCGAACATTGTCATATATAAACGACGAGCTTCTTTTGTGATAGTCTCATCGTCTACAGAGAGAGCAGACTCAGATTCAGCACTCAAAACAGTAGACATATTCCAGTTTCATTGAAAGAACAAAAATACTTGTAAATATAGATTTATTTATCTGCAATATAAATTAATTTTAATACATTTGGTTTTTGCTTTTTTTTCTATCGCTTTTCAATTTTCATGAAAAGATTGTTCTCATTTTCATTGTGTACTTCGTCTGCTGTATGTGTTTTTGACTTGTCTTGCTTAGTTGTACTCATCATGCCAAAAAATAATAATAATAAGATATTTTTCATCGTTACAGTATTCGTACAATGGGAGGTGGAGCGATG